ATCAGCGCTGGGTAAGACGACACCCAGTCTTGTAGTACCACTTTGCACTTTGGAGGTGCAAAGTGCATGCCGAAAGGAGATACAGAACTTGCTAGTCTGTCAAGAGTGCATTGCACATCCTCTATAGATTCGAACAGGCATACGATGTCATCCGCGTACTCTAAATCGCACAGCTTTTCTCCAACTGCCCATCCAATACCTACATTTTGGAGACCAGTAAGTGCGTTCTCCAGTACTTCGTCTACGACGAAATTGAACAGGAATGGTGAAATAGGGCACCCTTGACGGATACCGCTCCTGGTTTCGAACGATTTACTTACCCCACCGTAGACCCTTACGCTACCAGAAGTATGCAGATACAACGACCGCAATAGGTTTACACACTTCCGCGGCATTCCTTTGCGGAGCAGCGACCCCAGAAGAGCTTCACGGTCAGCTGAATCGAAGGCTCCTTTTAGGTCACGGAACACTGCGACTGTTGGCTGACGATGTGCGCGACGCAATTCGACGACTTGTCGCAGAGTGAAGACTTGGCCGATACACCTGCGACCTGGTCACAATCCGGCTTGTTGTTCGCGGATATTCCTCTCCTTTAAGAGTATCAGGCGGCGAAGTACCACAGAAGTCAACACTTTTGTGATTATCGGAACTAAACTAATCCCACGGTGGTTAGCGCAGTCGTCGCGTGATCCCTTCTTGAAAATAGGGACGATCATCGATTCACCCCGGGACAAAGGGATAAGCTCCTCCGTCCAAATGCTGCGAAGTAAGCTAGTAATTGAGTCCGCAAGAGAATCTCCGCCCACCTTGAAAAGAATAGAGAGAAACCCATCAGGTTCCGCAGCCTTTCCTTTCTTTAATGATTGAATGCAGCTTCGTGCTTCCGATTCTGATGGGGGCTCGCATGTTACCACCCATGGAGTCCGCCGCAATTGCTGGAATGACCACATTAGCACTAGGCCAATTGAACTGTTCACTAAAATACTCTGGCCAGCGATCAAGTCATTGTTTTTTATTGTGGATGCTTTGTCCACTTTTATCGCAAATGATCTCGCTGACCGGTATGCGACGACCTCCGGTGCTGCGTATCAAGTGAAATAGTCTTTGACTATTCCCCGATCCAGAAGCTACCTCCATTTCACTAGCTATTTCGGCCCACCAATTTTCACGATCTTTCTTAAGGCTACTTCTGAGTTGACGTTGCGGACGACACCGGTCCTTATGCTGATCCTGGCAGGTTGGGATCTTACGCTTTTGATCCATTAGGATTACTGGCTCCTGAGATCCAATGCCTTCGGCGAACTTCGGGCTCAATCCCACAAGCAAAGTTTGCAGCCGAGTGCATCGCAAATCTAATCTGATTCCACTGTT